AAAAATTTGTTTATATGTACATGTCATTTGTCTTAAATTGTATGTCTGATGAAATATCCCATCGACATACGAAACCTCACAAATTATTAAATTTCATTTTTAATTTTAATTTAAACAAATAAAATATGATATCAACTCAAAATAAAATTGATTTGAATTTTAAAGTTTAAATTAAATTAAATTAAATTAATAAAAGAAGAGAATTAAATTATGTCAAAAAAAAAAGAAAAACGACATATATAGGCTCGTGCTGAACCACAAATAATACTGATACTTCGACATTAAATAATTCTTGTAGGTACCTTCAATCGTAAAATAAACAACCATAAAAATCTCAGGGTGTGCGTGTGGGTGGGTATGGGTGGTGTGTAGTTGTGGATGTGGGTGGGTGTGGGTGGGTATTGATTGTCTGTTCATTCACACCCACACCCAAACCCACACCCACACCCTCACCCACACCCACACCCACACCCACACCCCACACCCACACCCCACACCCACACCCACACTCACACCCACCTACCAACACACCCACCCACCCACACTCACACCCACCTACCAACACACCCACCCACCCACACTCACACCCACACCTCACCCTCATTATTGGTTCATGAAAATGAATATGAATATTGTATTTAAGGAACTGACATCACTGCACTGTTCAAAATTGTTGCATTCAGACTTGATTGAGTTATCTCTTTTGTTGATAGAGACTATCTCGTTCAAGAATTTTCATAATCAGACACGGAGGAAAACACATTTCAAGCCCGTACTAACACGGTGGATGTGAGTGGTTGTGTTTGCCGATGCTATCCTGTGTAATACACGCACATCTCCACACCCACCCTGATAAGATAGCAAGTCTTTTACAACGAATCTTATACATACTTGATTGAGAAATCGTATATTTTGTTTTTTAAGAAGACAACAACACGACCTTGGTATCGGAATCAAATCGACTAACTAAGAACTTCAGCAGTGGATAATAGAACCAATTGATGGAGAAGTTGTTCCTGCTTATGCAGAAATGCTCCACTCTGCATAAAGTCACATATATTAAGGAGAAATGGAAAAATATATACGGATATATTTATCATTTATGGTTGTTGCCGACACATTTCGATATTCACTTCAACTTATGCAGTTGATCATGTATAAATTGTTTCTACTTGAATTTTTTTCAGTTCTTCCAAAAAAAATCCGTTTTTCTTTGAGGTAGTTCTTATATGGAAAAATGATATGGTTGATGTCTGCTTGATACATATTGAATTCTCCTTACAGATGTGGAAATGAGTCAATGATTTCGATTAGAAATCAAATTTGGCTTGCTTTTTTTTGCAGAAATGGCTCGCTCCATTTCAAGCCAAAGATACTGGAGAAAAAGAAAAACAAGAGCATAAACATGAATCTATTAGGCACTGTTCTTGCATGTGTATTGCAAATTTAGCATAACTTATTTCTTTTCAAAGAGTAATGCTTCAACAAGGCGAGATGGTAAATATATATATATATAAGCAATATATCTATCACTCATCGTTCTTGGAGATGAACTTGAGCGGATGTCGGGTGCCGGTATGAGTATTCTCTCAGTCTGCACCAGCACTAACGCCTTCGCATATCCAAAAGTTGCTTTCAATGTGCGCGATTTGCTTACTTTTCAGGACCAAGTCATTCGCATTGAAACTACTTGCCTTCGATTTATAAAAAACAGTATAGCTCAAATCCTATCAACAAAAGTACTTCATAAACCTCAAATTGTTGCATTTGTTGAACTTAAAAAAACAGTGTGAAAATTGTGATTTTGACAATGCCGTGATGGATGGTTAGAACTTAAAAGCTTGAGGTTATTGATTTCATATTTTATTTTGTATTATTTTGCACCAGAAACATTTCAACTAAATCTCTGGAGACATTTAATCCATGATAATTGATAGTATTTCAACTTTTCATCAGTTGATGTTTATAAGGCGTACAATATTGATTTTGTTTTTGATTGCTCTGCATCTATTCGATAGTAGTCACATGGTCTGTGGGACACCGGAGCATTTAAAATTTGTCGAGCAACGACGAAACCTTTGAAGCATTTTCAATTTATCAATGAGTATTTCTATCGATTCATCACACAGAAAATCTAAATGATTTCTATATGACCGTAGGCAGCAAGAATTTCAATTCCAATCATTTGATATTTTTTCGATTTTTTTGTAGGTTAAGAATTAGGCACATTCGAAATTTAAGAGGCTGAATGATGAAAGGAAATTCTACTAGTACTAATCGATAGCATATGCAATTTACTATGAAAAATATTCGGACTTTTGTTTTAATCCAGTGCCTCTTTAAACATTAGCATTATGCTACAAATGATCATTCCTGTCATGGAGATGTGATGGGATTAACGTCTAGATGTGGGAGTATCTTGACACTGAGAAAGTTCGAAAAATATTCTGACAATCCATCAATGTCAAATTATAATAACCTCAGTTTTGCTGTATATAGTAAGTTTTATACACAGTGTACTAGACGTTTTTGACCTCGGAAACCATAATTAATATAACAGAAAAGAATCAAAATAATTATTGCTCGGTTAGCTCTTGTCAAGTGTATCTTCGTCTTTAATTAGAATGCCGTAGGGTCGAACAGCATCAGGATCGACAAAACGCCACGTATGACCTGTTGAAGTACTAACTTGATGAGTAGTGAACTTGCCAGGCTGTGCACGACACATAAAAACAATACGAAATGTGTTCTTCTTTTTATCCGGTATTTCCAAATGGAACGGTTTTGTATAGTGTGGATGAGCACCGCCGTTACAGTGAGTAGTCAAATAGATTTCCGGTTGATTCATGGTTGATTCCATCATTTTCGAACTTGCGGTATCTGCTTCAACGACACTTGTTACGAGACCTTTCTGAGTAATACCATCGACTGTACTGGAATGCGTTCCATGGAAGGCGACTGGCCATTCACCTGTAGCATTGACAGAGCCAAACCAGACATCACCATCTGAATACTTTTGGTCGAGTTTGAGTGCATGATAGTACCAACCAATTGGCAAATAGTAAGGATAACCTCCATGTCGTTCAGATTCAGGTAAACCTGACTTTCTATAGTCCACATTGTTTTTTCGAGCGAAATCATTTGCATTTAGCTGAAGATAGGATAGCATAGGCACCCAAGAGTATGTGTATTCGCCAGGTTTCACATACTGAAGTACGGTATCGTCTCCGAAGCCTACACGAGCTCGTGCCTAAAATAATCAAGAACACAAAATAATTCGGAAAAAAGAACATCAACGCTTAATTCGCACTGAGAAAATGTCGAAACATCTTGATTTTCCTTTGAAATAGAAAATTTTAGACAGTAGATTTTGCTTTGAAGTCAATCATTTATCAATTTATTTTAAATAACGCGAAAAGTTCCTTTCAAAGAACTTCAAAAAAGTCTTCTAATGTTGTAAATTTTCATTTCGTAAGTAACTTACTATCACTGTTATATATTTGCACACTAAAATAAAAACTACCGTCTGTGTTATACTTTGCGATACAATGTACAATATAGTCCAGCACGACATGAGGTTTTCGTTGCGACACATTCGGTACAGCAATGGCACGACATATATTTCTACGACTCATGCAACACATTGTAAAAACATGATTCAAATTTAGTACAGAGCGCATGTCTCTTTTTTCTTCCTGTAAAAGCAGAAGGTGATATTCTGTTTTAAATTTACAGCAATTTCAATTAATTATGTGGATTCTGAAAATTCCAACGAAAGAGATCTTGAGATTTGTCTTTTTTGGTTCAGTTCAGTTATGGTCAAACCGTTTCAACGCACTCTTCTGTCAATCATCGACCGAAATCAGCATGTTCTCAGCTGCACACTTATTCACGGATAATCTTCAACGAAGACATGAAAAAAATACAAATTTTGTGAGGTCAATCGAACTGTCTATGTGTAGCCGCGTCAGCAAAACAAAAGAAGGAATGGATACTCAATAGAAAGAATGTAAAAAACTCGTATACGACTTATTCCAACATCAACACACGTTTGTGATAATCTGTGATACAGTTTATTTTAATGTGTACAACCTATGGATAACCGATACACCCTTGAAGAGTCTATCAGAGATTCTATCAGAAGTTTACGTATATCAAATATATCTCTATTTGCTTTTTCAAAGTTTTAAAAATAGACTATTTTTCTGGTCAAAAAAAGTGAGCTCCAAACTGCGTAAACTCCAAATTTGGAGCTCACTTCCGCATCAACGTTTTACTCATTGACCTCACTTCAGCTCATACAGTTCAGGGTCAAGATAAAGACCTCGGAACCGTGTAAACTCCAAACTCTGAATTCCCTTCAAGAACCGCCTGGTATGCTAGCTGCATTACCTGGGATGCCGGTAGCATTGTTTGGGATTCTAGTAGCATTTGCTGGCATGTTTGTGACATTACCTAGTATGCTTGTAGCATTGACTAGTATGCTAGTAGCAGTGCCTAGGATGCTAGTAGCGTTGCAGACAATGCTAGTAGGATTACTTGGTATGCTAGTAGCATTGTCTGGCTTGATGGCAGGACTACCGGGGGCACTCTTACCAGAACCTGGCATGATGTTAGCGTTATCTTGGATGCTACTAGCATCCTAGGTGACACATCTTTGGAACATCACATATAACTCAGGCCCTATTATCCCAGTTAAAAGTGGTCTGACTGCTGTTAACTAGAAAACATGGACTGTATTTTATTGGTAAAATATGGAGGCGTAAGTGAGCTCCAAATTTGGAGTTTACGTGTGGAGCTCATTTTTTTTGACCTATTTTTCTTAGGCTTCTCAGTTTTATTTCAAATTGTATGTCAACAGTTCGAAGATTTAGAGAAGTAGAATTTTCACATCGAGAGCATAATCAGAGGAAAACGTGGAATAGATCATGCAATAGAATTTTCGACCGTCTATCTGTTGTCATGTCTCATTAAAGCACTGGAAAAGATGGCATCTCAACGCGAACGATGAATATTCAAGAAATTTTTTAAGTGTTGTTCTATAGTCGCATTATCTCTCACTAGGCTAAATCTCAAAATTTCACTTATGCAATTTATTTTATTCTTTAAATAAAGACAAATTAATACTGTATATCTGAGAACTCAGACTTGTCTTTTTCTCTTTCTTTTTAACAGTATACTAGAAAACAAGAAAATAACTGAGAACCGTCGATCGGAACGAATGGTTTACCTGAAAATCGCGAGCTATCTGCTCAGTATCTTTCCGATTGGGAGTTGTAAAACCAAAGTGAACAATCATCATATTCGGCGTCTCGGGTAACTTCTCGACAGAACAGATTCGCAAATATTCTTCAGAAAAATTCAATTTTCTAGCAATTCGTTCAGAAAAGTTTAGCAGAAAATCTTTGATTGTATCATCCAATCCAGCGAGACTTTTGTCATAGTCGATATTAATCATAACTGAGAATTTAGCCGTTGCAATATAATTCGTGACGAGGAGATGAACATTACCCAAGTTAGCTACTCCACAAGCAATACGATAGGCACTTCTATCGAACAGTACGTCATTCTTTGTAAAGCTCAGATCGGCACCAAATTGTTGTGCAAAAGTATCGAGCATTAATATGAGCGTTTCCGTAGAGTTTTCACTCACAGAAATTGGGTGTTGACGAAAGTTGTTCGATTGACCAATAGTCATTCGATAACAGGCTATCGTATTGAATGGACGAAGCTCAACGGCATTCGGTGGATATACAATGCCTTTAAGTGCTTGTTGCGGATCATTGTACTCGTACCATAAAGGCGCCATTTTAATTGTTAGTGTATTAGGTTTGTTCTTCAGTCTCTTAACGTCTGGTCTAACTCTTGTATCAATTTTCGAGCGTAGTAAACTAGTATTACTTGCCGATGGTCGAATTACTGGGCGTGTATAAGTGCTCCGAAGCTTTTGGTTACGCGTTCGAGTCAATTGATTGATGCGTTCGTTCAATTCTTCAATGCCTGTACTAAACGACTTACTACTTGTTTTACCTCTTTGATTTAGTTTACCCAGTCGTGCGTCACGTTCTTCTTTCAACTTTTTAATAGCTTCATTAACATCATTGACACTGTTTAGGTTGTTCATTGTTGAATTCAATAAGTATCTGCCTCTCTAGATGCATTACAAAATGAAATGAAAACAAAAAAAAAAATTTACCAATTTTCTTCTATGCTTTTACAATTATTATAACCTTCTTATTTTTCATTCTTTCAGTGCCTTTGGGAGTTTTTTTGTGGATGAACGTAAGACTACCATTCACATTTCATAGGTACTAAAGGGGTTAAGATATTCTTGATGTTATAAAAGCGATGTGAGTATCAAACATGAAAGGGAATATATTGGATGTATTAGATGTTTACGTGCTCTACAGCTATTCGGCGAGTACTAATCAACATGTGTTTGGTGCAGTGATACGTAAAGAGAATCTAAAGATGTTTAGCATATAAAAGTCCTAAACATCATCGAACTTGAAGTAATCATAAAGAGGATTTACTTCAGCAAATGAAAATATAATATCAACAACTTGGTTTAGTTAGCAGATTGTTCGAGTAATAGTGCATCAACATGACTGAGGTTACGCATTCAAAACAAGCAACCGAACTAATTTAAAGTTTCTTTATGGGTTTCGGATATTCTGTGTTGATCTTTATAATTGCTTTCAAATTGTTACGAGAAGAACACTTGTTTACTAGCTAGAGCGTCTCTCCTAATACCAAAAATGCCTCCAACTTTGCTGATAGTCGAATCACTCCAAAATATCAACTTTTCTCTTTTTCGAACAGATAACATTGGCACTCAATCATAAAGTCGTTTTTCGTGCATTTCATTCACTTAGAAAAGTTCGAGGGTTTATTGTTTCGCTCGAATCTAACTAAAACCGAAGAAGCTTTTCGTTTGTGTCTTATTGCATAACGGATGATAGAGGCATTCATGTAAAATCCGCATATCTATATCTCTTTTCTATTTGAAAGATCCTAATATCGTGTGCAAAAACATTTAATGAACAACAGCGAAAATATCGTCAGTATATTTTGTTCTATGGTTTATTGAATGTTGCCCATCATACTTTGTAAAAGTGATGCATCGACCTGATTCGATTTCTTTTCTTTTTTTTTTCGACACTCCAGTTAGTTTTAGGTTTTTATCTGTTTATCTTGTTCATTTACCAATTCAGCTAAAACACTCTCAAAAACCTTCGATCGGACGTCCTTGCCACACATTTAGTGGATTATTGACTTTCGTTAAAAGCAGTACGAATATTGATTGAAAATAGTCGAAAATTCCCTTGGAGTAACGTGCTCTTTCAAGATCTGACTAAAGCATACCTACCTCAACGCAAACCTATGTATATATCCACAGACGCGTCGAATAAAAAATAAAATCTAACGAATTGATACGTCACTTTTATAATGAATGATACCCAGGAGATTTAATCCGATAATCGGACCGACTAAGATCCTATAGGAACCCATCGGAATCCTATCGGATTCTGAGAAAAACCCACAGGATACCATCCGATTTATAGCGGAATCCGGGCAACGAATCCATCAACGAAGCCCTAGGAGCGGAATCCATCAACGGAACCCTAGGATCCGAATCCATCAACGGAACCCTAGGATCGGAATCCATATAGGATCCAATTGTCGGAAAAATTGGGATATGGATGCCGTATCCGATGGGATGCTAACACAGGATTTCAAACCCAGGTCGAGCATTACGACGACCCAATTAGACCGCATACGGCCGGATTTTCGCCATATACGCGCTATACGGGATCGTAAACGGCCGTATACGGTGGTAACGGGCGGTCGTAATGCTCAGCCTGGGTATTATCATTGAGAAATTGAATCTCGCCATCTGATTGGTCAATTAAAACCGACTAATCACATTTCAGGAGCCTCTTTCTCTCTTATTATCAGAACATGTGCTTGTGATGTTCGGGCCGATCATATGGTTTTCGGAGACGCTCTATTGAATGAGGGGTATATGTTGGCGTCTTCACCCTTCTTAACCCTCTCAAATGCTCTAGTTGCAAAAAGTCTCAAAGGTCAAAGGTCAAAAAAACATCGAATAGATACTTTTTGGTGGGATTTTCGCCGTTATTCTATTGACAAACTATAGTGTTTTTTGGGGTCCATGGAATGGTTGTTTCGGACGCTCTATCGGTTGATGGGTATATGTGGGGGGTCTCGGATAGAAGAAGGGTATGATTCAGTAGTAATTATCATTAGATCAGACACAGGGCAACGGAATTTCCTCATACTATCATCATCACAGCCGTTTTAAATCCGGGAAAGATAGGGAGGCTGGAAAAATCTACGAAAATGCGATAGTCGGAATAATTGACGGTTGCGGTTGTAGGATATCGTCGGATTTTTATCGGAATCCAACAGTCGGAAAGGTTGTCTTTTCCGTTGGTAGGATATCATTGGATTTTCATAGGAACCTACCCATCGGATCCGTCAATGGATTCGTTGCCCGGAATCCGATCGGATTTTGTCGGCTTGGTCGGATCCGATCGGATCCTATAGGTGCCGTCGTCGGATCAAATCACCCGGGTAGATGATGTTCGAAAAACTTTAGAAAAACGTGTATTGATGACGTCTTTGCTATTTGTCACTAAAAATTTATTTGTAAGTGACGATTCAAGCTTCAATAGTTTTCAGAAATGTCCTATACTTTCTACTCGTAGTTAAAAATTACAGCTCTATTTCTGACTGTTTTGCAGATGCATGAATGTGGATTCTTTTTTTGAACGTTTCTATACTTTATGATGCAAAAGCAACGGGATCTATCTCAGACCCTATTTTCTCTTCGATAAATATGGCCTAAAAAGAATAATTTTTTTATCTGTTGGTAGGAAATTTTCTCCTCTATCAAACGATGTATGATTCATATTTGTCGCAGATTGATAAGTAAAACGAGACGAGAAAAAAATGAGTATCAATGGTGCAAAAAATTTGTGACTTTTATAGGAATTCATCAAAATATCTGTTAGACAGGATTTAATTACAATTAGCTGTCATTTTACAGAAAATTGTTCAGCGAGTTCGTTAAAGTCGAAGTAACAACCGTTTAGCAAGAGCTTTTGAATAAACTCATCAAAATCAAATAAATTGTTGTCTAACAAGATGTTGTTGACGAGTTCAACTCAAAATGATAAATTTAATGCGCCAGTATTCATCTTTGGTTTCATCTCATTTCGCTTATCAATCGGTGACACTTATGAATCATACATTGTTCGACAGAAGAGAAAATTTCCTATCAACGGATAAAAATAATATTCGTTTCAGATCGTATTTATCGAAAAAGAATAAAGATCGACATTTTGTGGAATTCTTTTACAGAAAAGTGCGAATTTTTTGTAAGGGTGTTTCTCTTTTCTACTATGTTGCTTCATTTATGAACTTGTTATATAAATAAGTTATAAATAGTTCGAAAAACGAAACTTAGTTCTATCTTTTGATAAAGAACATTTATTTCAGCACTCTTTCATCAAAGAGAAATGGAATCTGACATTTCTTCCATTACTTTTGCATCAGAAGTTATGTTAATCGTGCTGTTCATGCTCAATAATTGATTAAGAGTGAACTCAATTGGATTTTGATCAAGCGATGCTAAGTTACGTATATGTGGTACTGGTCATGTTTTGTGAACTTAGCTTTTCTTTCATTTATGAAGCTTCTCATGTACGATTTCACTTACCAACTGTTAAAAAATCAGCACCATACAAATAATGTTAGAAAGAGGTAGAAAGTGTCATCGTTTACTTCATTTTGAATTAATGGCATTATGGCTTTTAATGAAATACAAAATGTTTTACCTTTGTGTTTCTGTTAAATGTAAACATATAGAATCACACAGTTTGTCAGTGAATTATTTCGAATTCTTCAACTTAACATTACCATCAAACCAAAGCAAACAATCACAGATGCAACTTCTCACTAAGGAGGATATCAATGAAATTTTTTTCTCAGTTGAAGAACGAAACAATGTCAATACATTATGTGCTTGTTTGAAGTTTAATCAAACAAAAATCGAAACTTTATAAAATAATGATATTTGATCTCAAATATCTTATGTTTGTGATTGAAGAAGACTTCTATCAACACAGACACTCACATTTCGAAAGCAAGTATAATATATGAATGAGTGCTTTCTTTCATCAAGCCTACATATAAACTCATCTTAAACCTGTGCATGACATATGAATCAGCAGCATGATAATGATGTAATACTAGGCCTATACAAATCAGACAGTTCGATTAATACAAACAAAAATTGTCTAAATAGTTGACATATATGGAGTGAAGAAAGAATTCGTCAAGGATACGATCAACTAATAGTTCAGAGTTTCTCTCTTCGCAAGAACATAAGCGTATATGCATGTAGATCTATATTATTTTAATTTTTCGTTGTCCGTCCAACAAATTGAGAATGAGAAGTTGTTTTATACAATTAGGGAGGTGTGGACATTAGTAGAATTGTATCGCTTGCATGCTTATAAGCAAATTAAAATCGTCAAAACTTGATCTTGTGTTCTTTTCTCGTTCAACTAAATAGATATAGATCGTTTTGAGGACAGATCCCCAAATCATAATATGAAAGACCGTGATACAAAATTTCTGTGCACGAAATTTACTCGCAAAATGATTTGGGGTGTGGGTGTGTTTGCGAGAAGAGATCACATCCACACCCACACACCCCACACACCCACATCCACGCCCTCAGCAGATGGAAATACAAGTTTGAAATCTATAATAGAGCTG